TTATTTTTCCGAAGCTCTAAGAGCACCTTATTTTCTGAAGCTCTAAGAGAGCATCTTATTTTCTGAAGCTCTAAGAGAGCATCTTATTTTTCTGAAGCTCTAAGAGTTATTTCCTAAAACTCTAAGGGATCATCCTATCTCCGAAGCTCTAGTAGAACCACTTCTTTTCTGAAGCTCTCTCAATATCACTCTTAAGTCCATGCATTCTATAAATAGTCATGCCTAGACTTGGGGGACTATTGTTATCCCCCCGTTTCGAGGATTGCAGAAAGATGGCCACGTGGCAAGCCACGTGTAGGGTGGTCAGAAAGGAGCAAAGAGGACAACCAAATGGGTCGGAAACCCCGCGAAGGAAATGGGCCGAGGCCCTTCATCAATAAATAAACATTTCTCATAGCCTCGGCATGAGGCGCTTCCTCAAGGACGACACAATGCGTGATCCGAGGTCTTCTTAGTGTCCTCTGAGAGTCATGAACTCGACGTTGCCTCGAGAAGATTCGAAGATCTTTTTGGATTGATTGATGGGATGCCTACAATAAAGTAAGCAGTTGTATTTAATGTCCGCTTGTCACTAGAGTGGCTGACCTTCGGTCAAACATTAAATGCGATGATTAGACAGCGACGTGAAGCCTCAGCTTAGGAGATGTCTCCACGTGGATCTGATCTAACGATCGCCACGTCTGCCGGAATTGTATAAATGATTCGTTTCTGTGTTCATAAGAGGGGGGATTTTTCGGCCCAAGAGGAGAAGAAAAAGAACCGAGAGTTATCAAAAAATAAAAGACATCCTGATTCGTATCATATCTATCCTTCCACATATTCCATGAGAGAAGAAGAATTTGTTTGTCAAGTGTAAAAACAAGAAGTCAGGGATCATTGTTAGCGTGATTCCCTTTACATACTACTACCGGAACCCAAACATTTTTGTCTCCCGCCAGAAAGTACTTCCCACGTCCATAAACAGTAAAGCTACCAATTGCATTCCGGTAGAAACGTGCCGGACCCGTACTTGACACAGCGAGAGTGGGCCCGGTATCTGTTGAATTCATTTTTTGGGGTCAACACCATTCATATTTATTCCTGGTAATACCTACTGGGGTGCTTTTTGATCTTCTTTGTGTAGAAGCAGAGAGGCCTTGGAATCTAATGGTATAAAATTAAATTTTTATTTACAGTGGATACTTTATGATCCTATGATTTGTAAAGCCATTACAGGAATTTATGCCATCTAACTATAGGATTTCCTTCTTTTATACTTTATGATCCTATGATTTGTGAAGACATTGTTTAATAGAATTTCCTTCTTTTATACTGTAAATCCACTTACAATCAACTAAGGACCTATTATTTGGTTTAGGAACCAAACCTAGGATTATTTTTCAATAGGGAATTCATTTCCTCTTCCATTGCAAGCTTCCATTCTCTAGATAAATGACAACTTATCGTCTCTTCATAGGATTTAGGTTCCTTAACGACCAAATTCTAATAAGATATAACAGCTAAGGACATATAATCTCTCATTCTAACTGGATCTCTTATATCTCTTCTAGCTCTCTCCCTAGCTAGTTGATAATTATCTAAGGAATTTTCATATTCCCTACCACCATAATCTTGTACAGTACCCTCACCTTCATTTGAATCAGTTTCATTTACAATCTAATCATCATATATATGCTCAGATGATGACCAAGGCTCTACATGCAGCATGGTCACCTTTTCAGTGTCATTAACATGAGCATCATCTTGATATTTCTCACTAAAACAGGACAAATCAGTTTCGTTAAAGATCACATTTCTGCTAGTCATTTTGGGATCTTGGTTTAAGTTTGCCAATACTCTGATGAGAGTAGGCAGCACAATCAAAAGTTTTAAGATGGCTGTAATAAGGTAATTTACTAGACTAGACTTCTTTAGGAGTCTTACCATATATGGAACTAGTAGGAATTCTATTAATCACATATACAATTGTTATAACAGCTTTTCCCCATAACACTTTAGGCACCTCAGAACTGACCATTATACATCTAACCTTGTCTAAAATAGTCATATTCATTCTCTCAGCAACTCCATTTTGTTGAGGAGTGTAGGGTACAATCTTATGTCTTAGAATAGTATCAGCTTTACAAAGTTGGTCAAAATCAACATTGTAAAATTCTATACCATTGTCAGTTCTCAAAATTTTAATCATTTTCCCAGTCTGATTTCAATCAAGGTTTTCCAATCTTTAAACTTTTTAAAGGTGTCATATTTTTGTTTTAACAAAAAAGTCCAAACCTTTCTTGAAAAATCATCAATCAAAGATAGAAAATATTTATTTCCACCTTGAGTCATGGTAGATGAGGGACCCCATACTTCAGAATGTATATATTCTAAAACAGATGCAGTGTCATGTTTTCCAGTATTAAAATGAAGCCTATGTTGTTTGTCTAAAGTGCAATGCTCACAAAAAAGAATTTTTTGAGATCACATCTTTTCCAAAAACACTCTTCTTATTTAAAATATACATACCCTTTTCACTTACATGTGCCAATCTATTGTGCCACTTTAAAGTTGCATCAATTTCTGCACTTGAGGATTCAACAGTGTGACTTGAAATTATCTTAGCTCTAGTAACATATATACCATTTCTTTTGGTACCCTTGAAAATGACAATTGATCCTCTAATCACCCTTAACAAGTCATTTCCAAGCCTAACAAATATGCTTATGTCATCTAGATCACTCATAGAAATTAAATTTCTGTTTAAATCAGGGACATATCTAACTCTTTTTAGAGTGAAGATATATCCATTTCCAACTTCAAAGTCTCACAGCCAAGTCCCATAACTCTATAGGCGGCATTATTTCCCATAACTACCTCACCCCCATACATATCGTTGTAGTTTTCTAACCAAGACTTTCTAGAGGTCATGTGAAAAGTGCACCTAGAATCCAAGATCCACTATTCTAATCTTTATTCTCGAAGAAATTTACAGTACTCTGATCAGTAATGGATTCAGTTACAACATAAACATCCACAGTTCTATCTTTTAAGGGCTCAGCCACATTTTCCTCATCTGCTTTCTTATTTTTCTGTTCATTCTTTTATAAAATGTCAAGTTTTTCCACATCCATAACATTTTCTATTTCTAGTCCTAGACCTATGTTTTCCCTTCCTACTTTTCTTGTTATTATTGTTCCCTTGATAACCTTGATTATCCTGACTACTGCTTTGCCTATTAAGTGACCTCCCTATTATAAATAGACTGAAATTTCCTTCCATGTCTCTTAGTCTTAAGTTCTAATTCTTTGCTCCTCAAAGAATTGATCACTATCACAGAGGTCAAGGTATCCCTGGCATAGTTAATAACAGCTTTGACATCTTTATATGTCTCAGGTATGGAGTTGAGTAGTATAACTGCCTTATACTCCTCATATACCTTGTCACCAGCACTAGTAATATCTTGCACTAATTTATTAAAGGTATCGATATTATTATCTAGGTCTTTGGTCATGTCTATCTTGAAGCTAAAACATCTTTTCTAGGAGAAACAGTCTATTTGGTAAAGACTTGACTAAATAAAGTTCTTCTAATTTATCCCACAGAGCCTTAGTGTTATCAAGTTTCCCAACTTTTCTCAAAACTTGATCAGATAGATGCAGAATAATGGATGTATAGGCAAGCTCATCCGATTCAGTCATTTGATCAGCAGTCATAGTTGTAGGAAAATCAGCAGTTATAACTTTTGAAACTTTCTGTTGAACAAGGACTCCTATCATTTTTTGCTGCCAAATGGGGAAATCCCATTTTCCATTAAAAACCCCAAGTTCAAACGTGGAAGTTGTCATTTGGAGTTTTTAACCAACACAAGAAACTTATTTGAAGTACGATGTTCAACAGACATAGTAGGATCCAAATAGTGTTTGACAACACATAGAATCACACACAATATTTAGAATCAAGAATTTTCAAGAAACACAATGAAATAACAACAAGAACACAGAGTGCAACAATAACCAATGATATTAGTGTAATATCCTTCCAGTTCCAGATATCCAAATTCACCAGGATTTCGTGAAGATCAAGTCTTC